TTTATGACCGTTTCAATGTGGAACTTTAATTATAACCATTCTGTACATTATTAAATTTTAATTTGAAGCTATGCGTTATATGTATACTATGCGTAAATTCTTCGCTTTTATGGAAAATAAAGAATCGAAGCAAATATACTTAAGATAATGGACCAAAACTGAAAAAATTTCCCTTTTCTCCGAAAATAAAATATTGAAACTCCGACCTTGAACTTATTGGGTTATCGAAATATTTAATTTGACTTATCTTCTAAGTCCTAGTTCCGACAACAATTCCGTCAAATTCCGAATTACTTAAGCTGAAGTAAAAGATTTAGTATATATTCACTGTATGTTAATAAAGTAATCAAGTGTAATAAAAATAGATTATAGAATTTACCTGATGCAACTTTCTGTCTGACTGCACAACATGTAATGGAAGAGAAGGCTTGTAGAGATCTGTTTTTGACATGCCTCTAAAAGTAGATGTCATACTCCTTTTGTCTCTTCCTTTGAGTTTTTTTTCTTTCCTTTGAGTTTCTCTTCCTTTGAGTTTCCAAAGTTTCCTTTGAGAGGAAACTTTAGTTTTTGGGAAAGAAAAAAAATCACAAGAAGACAAATTTGAAGAACATGCAGGATGATTGAGTACACATACTTATCTTCGGAACACAAGCGTTTCTCCGACTGGTTATTGAATAATGAAAAGATGCATTGTCATGCTATACAAAACATTTGGAATACGTTTTCTGACTGAAAACGTAAGATTAAGAGTCATCTGCTTAATTCACATCCTTTTACAAGTCAACTACTCGGGCAATTGCAGAATCGTTTTGATCCTGAGCTTGTAAGACAAACCTAATATCACTGGATTTAAACACTTCTTTAATCTTCCGAGAACGTTCCTTCTTTAGCTCATATTCCAAGAATTTTAAGTGAATACAATTATTGCAAAAGAAATTGAATATTCATTTGCACTACGGCTTGGTAGTTTACTAACGAGTTAACAAAACTTAAATTCTGCTTTTTGTGTCTAAGAATACAACAATATTTTAAATATTTACAAATAAAATATTAAATTGGAGCCTCACCATTTGCCTAGCATTTGAAGATTGTTAAATACTGATTGTTTGATGCGAAGTCTAACCCAAGCTACATGGTTGGTTTTCATAGTTTTCTAGATTCTCTTTACAAAGGTTTTCTATGAGAGTATCTTAATCAAATAGCTCCCATCTTCTTTCTATGTTCCAACAACCAACTAACCTAGTTTAAGCGCGATTTCCGGGTGAAGTTACTAGCAAAACCCGAATACTCATTAAAAATCCTGTAGCTTGCGAATCGGGAGTAACATGAAAGATACGGCGCCAATAATTCAATTGCTGTTATGGTACGCTGTTTCTAAACTTAGCTGGTCATTCTTTAATTAAAGAACCCACCAGCGGCCGAGCGGTAAAGACGCTGAACACTGGTAGTTCGGTCCGAGGTTCGAATCCCGCGAACGGGCTGGCCGCATGGGTGTTTTCGTGGTTTTCCCCATGTGTAACGTGTATACGAGCCAGTTTTCCTTAGAAAGTCCTCCACGAAGGCATCCTTCCCTGTAGGCAGATAGCCCTCGTGTGCTTTGCCATAATTAAATAATCCAATCCAATCTTTAATTAAATATAATTGATTTGTAACTTCTACTAGAACTGACGGTAAGAATTGAAGTGCAAATAAATATATCGTGTTCAATCTTGATTAATATAAAATTTAAAAAATTTGCACAGAAAATATTTGCATTCAGACAGAAAGTTTTTTGAAATATTTGCTATTACTTTATAAGAAGAATTTATTAATAACCGTAATAATTACTTATTATATTACTGATGATTAGGATTCAGTTCTTGACAATTACATTCTGAATTAGAATTTTATGAATATAATTAAATACGCTACGCACAAAAATACATTTTACGATAAAAATATGAATTAATTTTTTATGTTTCAAAACTTCTTAAATTCATTTACTAAACATCGTATCCTCGTTGTTAATTGAATCCAGAATGTTGGGTGTCGTTTATATAATTATTCTTACTTGTTCACAGAATCTGCTGACTTATCCAGCCATTAAGTAGCTGCAGATTATTTCTACATAACCATTGAACTTCCATTAATTCAGTCTCTAGAGGGTTGTATGTTTATATCATAATTTGAATTTTATAAAAATGATTATTCTAAATCTTATGTTTCTAATAAAATATAGTATGCTTTAAAAATATGGATGATAGTATCAGCTGCTCTTTCAGCCACTTCAAAAGCAACAGTTTGTTTAGAAATTTAAACAAAGTAAAGTAGCAGGCGATAAAACGCTGAAGGTAAAAATTTACTCTTACAAAAATTTACTCTTATTAAAAAAAAAAAAAAAAAAGAGAGAGAAATTAGTTAAAAATTTGAATAATATCATCTAATTTAAATAATTTACAAATAAAATAAATAATTTAAAAAATAACTTTTCATATAATATTAATAAATATTTATTACGCATCATTGAGGGAAAAATGTCATATAATTAATTCTCCGTAAAATTTTACTTGAAATTTAAGGTTAAAAATAGCTGTGACAATTCACTGTAACAAAATTCCTTAGACCACATTTGGTGTTATTATCGCTCCAAAAAAAGATGCCAAATTTCAAACCGCGAAAATATGTAAATTCGTGTATAGCTTAGAAAATTTTGAATAAAAAAATCTAATTTTTTGCAGTTATGCTTAAACATACACCTACTTTAAGATGATGGTAAAAATTTTATAGGTTATAATTCAAATTTTTTTTTCGAAAAATTTATAAAAATTATTTAAAAATAGAAATTTAAAAAATAAAAACACAAAAATGGGTAAATTTTATTTAGAATGAACCTAACTTTCGAAATGTGAGAGAAAAAATCAAAAAAGTTTGATAAAAAAAGAGATATTAATAAATATTTGCCAAATTCAATTAACATTGAGGAGCTAAAATTTTGAGAGCTAATATTTTAAAACTTACTTGTACGATTTTCACAAAACTTGGTATTCTGGTAAATTTGAGTCGTAGAATAGAAATATGGAAAAAAATGGTATGTTATGTTAGAATAGTGCTATATATAAATCTAATATATATCCTAAGTCGCGCTTTCGAGACATGAAGAACGCAATTTGAATTTTGTCAATCGGCCCAGTAGAACGGAAGATTTATTTTTAAATTTTTAACTGTCCCATTTATTTTTAGCAGTGTACCTATTTACTGTGTTTTTGAGCAATATATATAGATAAAATTTTGTAATATAATTTATAAATTTATAATAAATTAATTCTTTAGAATTTATAATAATGAGTAAGAAAAGAAGATGCAAATTCAAAGATGATCTAATAAGTGAATTTCCTGTTGTTAAAAAAACCCAAAACGATTACATGGTAAAATGTGGAGAAATGTAATGGTGAGTTTTATATTTCGCTCGGCTGGAAGAATGATATTTCAGAGAACTCGGAGACACAGAAACTTAAAAAGTTATTTAAATACTACCTGCATCTTCCTCCAAAATACAGGGATTCTTTCGGAAAGCAATTTATGGAGACAAAGAAAAGAAATTAGCATTAGCAGAAGGACTAAATGTTTTTTAATGCTAATAATCAGAATCATTCCTTCAGATCTCGTACATCACAAGTTGTCCAAAAGTTATTCAGTAAAAAACGACAGCAACTGAAAGAATTCATTGAAGTGAGAAATATGCCAAAGAATAAAATAAAACTATACCCCGGTAAATAAGGTCCTGCTTTACCAATGCTAAAATCTGGTCACCTTAGTTTAAATGCTTTGTTCTATTGGACACTTTGAACCTTGTCGCTTACTTTTTCCAAGAACAGTGGCTTCTTAAGAGCCACTGTGAATTCTACAACAAACTCAGTTTGGTCATCTAAAGAATTAAGAAAACTTTCGTTTAAAGGACGTCATATGATACCAGTAAGTTTGCGTTTTTTCAATTTTGTATTTTATAGGTTCTTTCAATTCTGTTTAGATAAGGCTTTCAGTTTTTTTGCCGAAATACGCTCTGCTTTTATTTATGTAATCTCCATGAAAAGTTATTCGTTTTCTTGGAATTAAAAGTTTAGTTAAACATAATCGGAGACCGCCAGAATAATATTTAAATGACTATTTAGTTTAACGTATACTGATATTGCGATCTATCATTATATTTGAATTTGAATTTCCGGTTTGCATATAATGTTTTTAGACCAATTTAATTTTTTTCGAATGGTCATTTTATAATATGTAATATTTTTTTTTTGTTTTCCTTTTTTTAAAGTCAGTTTGAAACAACGCTATGGTTCATTCATTTTTCCAAGTGTTTCGAAGGCGTGTAGGGAAAATCCTGGTACATTTGAGATTCATTTTGTTAGGTTTTATATGAGTTTTTATGTAATTTAAATTTGTTTCTTTTTTCGGTTTTTGATCTCAAATTTACAGCTAGAACGAAACACGTTTTTGAAGCATATTAATCAAATTTTATGAAGCTTTAATTCATTTTTCCCTGATGAGTTCTGAATTTAAGTTTCAATTAAGGGAGATTAGACTTTTTTAATATCTTTTATATATTTTCCCTTTTTGCATTTTTAGTTGTCGAGTTTGTACTATATAACCATTTTTATTTTGAAATGTTTTGATCTTATGTTTCACCCCTCTACAAGGATGTGAAAGAATCATTTTACTTTGACTCATATTTACTTTTAATTTTAGGTGCTTTAAGTTTATTTTACTTCAATCCTGCAGCTACAGCGCAAGTCTAGTTTAAAAAATTTGCCTTTTACTTTTGCCTCTTATTAAGTTTCTTTATGTATATATATATTGCAAACATATATATATATATATATATAATATATAAACATTTTTTAAGTCGCAATTACAGTTCGCTTTGCATGCAGATTTTTATATGTTCTCTGTCTTATTTTCTGTTTCATTACTTTTAGTCAGAAATCTTAGAAATGAATTTACTCACTTATTCGATTTGATAGGTAGTCGCACTATCTAGTCATGCCATAGCTACCACTATTTCTAAAATAGTGCAACGATCAAAAGAAAATGTTATTTGCCGAGAGAAAATTCTTTCATTGTCAGGTGAGTAAGATTACATAAAGGGATGCTACATAAAGGAGTATCAGATATGCAGCAAATTTATTAAAGAATGTATTGCCTTATTTAAAATTGGAACTTTATTTAGTTCTCAGCAAACGTATTTTTTAAAATTTAGAACGAGGATATGTGCTGTTTCTTTCTTAAAGTTGACCTCATGCTCTTGGAATCAAAACAAATTCTTTTAAAAATCATTTTCCGTTTAATAATATCCAGAATTATTTATTTTGACTTTAGGGAATATAAACTACAATACGTTTTCCGTATACACGACTTTTTGCCGGTAGTAGCCACTACAATAAAAAGGCTATAAATTCCTTTTGGTTGCATACCATAAAATAGCCAACAGCATTAATTCGTTATTTATTGAAGCGCATCCACAACCGGTACACTGCACAATATGTTGGGTTTCAGTTCTGTTGTGCTTTAGCTTTTCCTTTTTTGTTTGGCCTTTTTACCTTTATACGTACTTCGAAAGAGTTAAAAAAGTTATTTTCTTAAGCTATAATGTCTTCTCTCCCGAAAAGGTACCGCATCGTCAGGCCTTTACAGATGTACCTTATACTTGCAGTAAAAACAACACTAGAGGCCACTAAGTGTTTTTATTTATTTATTTATTTATTTATTTTCTTATTATCCATGTTAAGGGAAAAAGGGGGTGGGAGTGTTCATTTCCTAGTTTCTTTCGTAACACTCTATGTTTTAGTGTCTCTTCGAATAAAATTTCCTTGTGAAATTTTTCATTCTATATAAGAGGCATTCTTCTTGAGTTTGTTTATGCATAATCAAAAATATATAGTAGGTTTTAAATACGTATTAAAATATTTTTTTTATAAAAATACGAAAACAGCGTTTTCAAATGATGAAATATGTTTCCTATATTTTATACTGTAAAATCGCATAAATTGGTTTGCCATTTACTTTAAAAGTCACAAAAACGTTCTGTTAAATATTAAATAAATTTTAATAAGTATTTTACTGATCATTGTAATAGGATCAGCGCACACTTCATTAGCAGAGCCAACAGACATCTTTATAACAAATTTAAAATTAAATGAAAGTATCCTCATAATTCCTATCCTAATTTTAATGGTATCATGAAAATATCCATTTATTAATCTGTGTAATGTACAAACTGATTCACACAAAAACGGAGCTATACGTCGTATGATAAATGGACAGAAGTTGCCAAGTACTTCTGAAAACTTATATTGTTTTACACCAGATACCAATGCTTCAAACCATTTGTTGAAAGCAATTTCGATCTTCCATCATGAGTATGCTAGAATGGTTTCTCGTCTTCTGAGCGCGGTGACGTTCGCTAAGATTATGCTAAACCAGACCAATGGAATATTTTATGTACATCTTAAAATAATCTGACGTGGACACGGTGTGACTTCCTTGTAAGGCCTATTAAATTATACACATTTTTAACTGCACTTTTTTCAAACTTATTTCATAGGATTTTATTAGAGATACACTTCTCATTCAATCAAATCTGTTTGGATTTTCTAAGCCATCCAATAGGGATTCCTGTAAAATACTTTCAAAAATGGAATGATATTCTTCCGAAATTTCACGGTTTCATCAGCTGCATGCTCAGTTCCGGTATGCTATTGAGTAAACTGAGAAAGCAATTTACAGAATATAACTTATCCCTTCTTATTAAAGATAAACTTTTTTTAAAAGATAAAGATTTTTTAAAACTGTACTGTCCTCTCTTATTTTCTACTTCCGGCTAGAACAGACGCGTTAACTAGTTTATGCAAATTGTACTTCCTAACGCCGAAGTATTTAAGTAGTGGCTTTTTGCCAAGAACGGAGTTAGACAGAGAGAAAGTGAGATGCCTTGCCACTGCATTTCCCACGAATTTTCAATCAGCTGCCGTCTGCCTTTAAGGCCTGAGTTTTAGTCCTCTCGATATTTAAAACGTATTGTAATTTTCGGCAGTTTGCGTGTTACATACGTAATATTTTAAAAGGCCAGTCTTAGGTATTTGTGTAAACTATTCAAAGTCAGCTCTTATTTAAAATTTTAGTTAGAAGTTTTATATTTTTACGTTCAAACCACAAGTGGTTGGTCTTCGTATCCCGAAGTGCGGGAGCACCTGTAATGTTGTGGAAAATAAAGGGTAAAATTAACCCTTCCTGCTTGTGTCGTCCATTCCACACATATGTGAACATAGCTTGAGTAAGCTCCTTGTTCCCATTCAGGACGGGTCATATTCCCAAAGCAGATCAAGAGACATACAAGTCCTGATAACATATAACTTCACAATGCACACATCAAAGCAACTGAAAATACCTAACTGAAGTCGGTATTAACTTAAAAATGATTAAATTGATCATTCGCTATAGTTAATAACCTCATTAGGAATCAATACCTATAGACGCCTATCTCTAAATATACAACATTTCTTATATCAATTTAAAAAAATTACTCTTTGTTACAATAAATTTTATAAGACGATATCTTCTTCCGTGGACCAAGGCCGGCATATACGTACTAAAATGACCACAAAAATGTCTAATTTTAGTATTAGATTGTATATACTAAAGATCTAAAAGGGATTAAATCTCAAAGACTTAATATTAAAAAAAAGTTATTTTTTCTTTTATTTAAATGTAAGTAAAACTTACAATTAATAATTTCTTTATTTTAATGGCTTACTTTATCATTAGACTTCATTACTCTTTAAAAATTTTCCGATAAAATATTCTTGCATACTACGGGCTCGTTGATTTGGAGTAACTGATAACAACACTTGATGAAGAATCAAAAAGCAATTTATTCGCTAGTATCGCGCAGGACAGTTCGAAAGACACGTTTACATTCGTCGAAAAACTACGTCAGACATGCTGAAACAATTAGCAGTGCAGTCCTTAGGCTATGACGGTGAAAACAGCATCACGGCAAAGCACTAAAGTACAGCTCCCGACTCGGTCGATCGCTTTCAAGCTGAGCTCTGAACTCAAGATATTGCACTATACTACTGATTTCAAGATACTACTCTCGCCACGTACAGGCAAAGTATATATAGAATTAGTCTACCTTCAAGAACATTTCAGAGGAAAGTCACCAAGCATGCGTCCTAGAATGTTCTCGCTGCGTCTATGGCGTATCGCCAATTTTTCCCTCAAATGTCACCAAATAGCATATTTAGCGTGAAATCTGTGAACCCTGTATGATAAGGTGGCATAACGGTTCTTTGTCTAGGATGAGTTTACAGAGTGCAATATTTTCATATCAGTGGTGAAATCCTGTTCCTTTGTTAACGATTCCGATTGTAGCCTTGAAGGTCGCAAAGACAACAGTGGACAAAGAAAGAGGGGAAAGAAGTCTTTTCATCAGGGTCAGGAGATGGACACTTTGTTAGGCATGAGTGAAAGAATCTCCTCCCCCTTGGTAGTTCAGCGCAATTAAACACTGGGAGATATATAAGGTGGTTTCCTGAGAAGAGAGAACAATCTTTCCTGCTTAGAGCTATGGGCATGTGGACCTGCTAAGAGCGATCATTCCTCGTGTATAATGCCTTAGAAAAATTTTCCTGTTTTGAGCTATGAGCATGTTGCCTTGCTAAGAACGATCATTCCTCGTGTATAATGCGTTAGAGCATTTTTCCTGTAACAAAATTCTGAAATTACGGGACTAAAGATATCCAAGTCCCATATTGTAAAGATATGCAACTGTTCAGCTTTTCATTTTATTAAAAATTCATGTTATTGTTATAAATTCAGTTTGAAGTTCATTTCAATCCCTCTATTACACCCGTTGTTTGTGTAGCGGTTTCGGGCACTACACCACACCTGTCTTTCCTTGCCACTTCCTGGCAACCCTGACCCCGCTTTGCAGGGAAGCTATCTTACCCCAGCTGGGTATTTCGCAACATTATTTCATTTCTGGTCTGATTAACTGGTAATGTATAACAAATTAGGAAGTAGTATAGAGAGAAAGATTAAGAATTGTTTCTTGGATATGGATGTAGATAAATTTAAAAAAAAAATACAATAAAATGCTTTAAGGAAAACAGTATTATTTGGGATTGAGTATAAATGGAAATAGTCAAAAACGTCTGAAAGCTTTCAGGTTTTATTAAACGTCCAAAGGGGCGTTTTTTAACGTTTTGTACGTTACTTTCATTTATTAAATATCATGCTGTTCGCACTTAAACAGTAAAATTCAATTCAACAGCAATGTTACAAATTATTTAAAACAGTATACCTTTAAAATTTCCGATACACAGTCTCAACCACTGGAGACATTTTTCTTAACCGTACAGTTTTGCCATTGCTCGCTTTGAAATTGTTCAGTTCCTCAATCAAAAAGTCATAAACGTTTTACAAAATATGAAATAGATAATAAAACAAATTCCAAATTTGGGCTTGCAGATGCCCATAAATATGGGCGGAGACATATGTTATTCAAAATTTGATAGCTCCAGGTACCGTTGTTTTATCGAAATGCGAGAAACATACATACATTTATGCAGATTCTACATTATTTAATTTGTTTAAACGTAATACAGGGCTCTAATATTTGGTGGCAAAAATTTTAAAAAGTGATTCGCCGTTTATAGCGAATCAACGAAATTGCCAAACCAAAATTAATAGCCTTTCTAGAAAAATTGCCCTTTTGGGCTAGTAATAAATTTTAGCCCTGACCGAAAATGAAGTAGGTAGACAACACTGGATTATTGTAATATTGTTTTAATAATTCATAAACACAATATTTAACATAAGAATTACTTTTCGCTTTACACATGTATTATTTGATACACAGTTCCATAATATAATTATTGCAGAGTTTTATTAACAAAAGTATAATAGTTAACCGATTTACTATTCTTTATTGCTTTTAAAGAGCCTTCGAGAAGCTTGAATAAGTAAACCCGTTATGCGAATTGATAATTGGCATAATTCATAATCATCTGCGATCAAAACGAAAATCATTTGGAATAGTGGATGATTATCTAAAGAGAATGTTC